GCACCGTGCCCCCTCTGAAACTGCAGTGCCGGAAGCTGTGTGTGATCTTCTGTTCCCAGACTCACCAACTCCACTGCTGCTCGTTTTTTTTTTTTTTTTTTTTTTTTTTTTTTGTTTTTTTTTTTTTTGTTTGTTTTTTTTTGTCCCCCCCCCGTCGCGGCCGCATGCGGAAACGCAGGCGCCGTCCGAAGTCAGCCGGGCTACGAGCCAAACTTGATTACCTAAACGCGCGAACTAACGGCCGCTGGAACTGCCGCCGAGGGGCGCTGAGGAGCGACGCCGGGAACTGAAGGCAGAACTGCAAGAGGTGCCAGGTGTGCCAGGCGGCTGAAGTGCAACCACTCCAGGGGCGAGACCACCAGGAAGGCAAACGAATTGTACCTTGTCGCGCCAGGCGCCAGACGTAAACGAACCACCCAAGCACGGCATAGCGTGGGGCTGAGCAAACAGCCCGGCGTACCTGCGTCGCATGCCGAAAGTGGCAACCTCAGGTGGTCAAACAAGAAGGATATATAAACCACTCAAGTCACCGGGACGCCAAGGTTACCTCATCAGGCTCAAAGGGGCCTTCACGGACACCAACAGACGACAAGGACTGAAGGCGAAAACCTGGGAACCGCAACCAGGCTGTGGTCGGCGGCAGGGCGGCGGTGGCCAGAGGGGGGCCAGACGGCGCCAAGAGGGGTGGGGCAGCAAACAGCTGAAGGCTGACAGTTCCCCAGGCCAAGTGCTAACGGCGCGGCATGCGTGAGTCGAGTGACGTCACGCAGGGAGGGCCAGCTCACCAGGGATACCAAGCCAGACTGTGGCCGGGTGCGGGAGAAGGCCAGGGTGAAAACAGCTACAGCAAACGGCCGGGGCCAAGTTGTGGCACGCTGCGCCGCGCCCCAGCAAGGGGTATCGTGCCAGGTATTGACAACGCCATGGGGCCTGATCCCCAAGGGCGATGGGCAAAGCCAGGCGCACTGCAGGGATCGTCACCGGTCGGCAGGGGGCCAACTCGCCAGGGATACCAGGCCAGGCTGTGAGTGGGTGCGGGGGAAGGCCAGGGTCAAAACAGCTACAGCAAACAGCCAAGGCCGCGTGATGGCACGCTGCGCCCCGCCCCAGCAAGGGGCATCTTCGTGCCAGGTATTGACAGCGCCATGGGGCCTGGTCCCCAAGGGCGAGGGGCGAAGCCAGGCGCAGAGCAGGGACCGTCACCAGTCGGCGGGGGAGGAGAGGTGGGGGGGAGCGGCGCCAGGAAACGCAAGTGGCTAACCGCACTGTCAGTTGGTGCAAAAAAAGGAAGAGAGAGAGAGAGAGAGAGAGAGAGAGAGAGAAACGAAACGCTGAACGTGATGCCAGGAAGTGGGGGTTGGCACTGAAGTGGCCAACGGCCACACTTTCTGGTGTCAGGTGTCTGGCTAACGGCCGTGCCCCCTGGTGACGTTTCTGACGCGTCCAACGACTGTGCCAATGAACATCACGTCCACTTGGACCGCTTGCCGTCGTGGTCTGCACCGTCGCTGTTCCGTCTGCCTTTCTTGCCTCCGTCATGCCAGTCATGGTCGCGCCAGGGCTGCCCTGAGCCGTGCCAGGAACACCCCTCCCAAGAATCCCAGGACTGGTGCTGGGAGCCAGAGCTCCACCCCTTTGACCGGTGGGACCCCATGCCAGAGGTCGCCCTGATATGCCTCTCACGTACGGCAGGCCAATCGACTTTGAACCCCAGCTGCCGATCCGTCGCGTAGGCGTCGAAGCCGCAGCTGCGCCAGGCGTCCAGGAAGCCCTTGCACGTGGACTCGTCATTCAGGAAGGGGTTGCTTTTGGACTTCCCTTTGGCGCGGATAGGATGCTGCTGCGTGTAGCCGTGCCAGAACCCGTTCAACGTGCCTCCTAGAAATTTCGGGAGGCGCGCGATCTTCTCGGCTGGGCCCTGTCCGTGGCGATCCAGGCTGACGTTGCCCAAATGCTCACGCTACATGCTCTCGCCAGTAACGGGGTCCAGGAGATGGTCGAAGGCCCTTCGTGCGCTGCTGGGGCGCCTGCTGCTGTCGGAGCCAAGAGGTGCCGCGTGCCTGCTCTCACCCCTGGGTGCCGGGCTCATCAGTATCACTGATGGCATTGTCGCGTCTCGGTGGGGGCGGATCACCTCTGGAGCTGGCGGCCGCCGCAGCACCTGCAGCTGAAGGCGCAGGCGGGTGTGTTGGCCGGAAGGCACCAAGCGGATCGTAGCCAGGGCTTGGGCTAGCTTCTGGGGCGTCCTCACCTCTGTCCTCGTGGCTGTACTCGAACCAAGGTGGGAAATAGCTGCCAAGCTGCTGGGGACCTTCGTTCGCTTCTGCGTGCTCGCTCGGCGATTCTGCTGGGGATGCTGGTCGCGGGCCGTCGAAATCCACCGAGAGATCCCTTTCCGTGGTAGTGCCGCTGGCGCCGTCGTGTACCTCGGCGTCGGCGGCGATACCTGGTCGGTCGAACTCCTCTTCTTCGCCCCTGGCCGAAGTGGTGGGGATACTCTTTGGCCTGCGGGCTCGCGAAGCAGGTCGAAAAGCGTCCGAACACTAGTCGGGCCGCGACTAGGCAGCAAGAAAAGAGAGGCAAGCGAAGCGAGCGCGCGGGCAACCACTCAGAAGAAGAACCAGAAACGAAACTCCCAACCCGGTGGCGTGGAGATCCTGGTGGCGACCAGCAAGTAAGCGGTGGTGGGGATACGCGAAATGTCAAGAATTTTATATTTTGTGCGATGAATTTGGCTGCTTCAACTTCAGCTCCGGACTCCGCGTGTGAATCGGGAGAGATGGGTTCAGGGAGGGCGTGTTGCTTACAGCGCTAAACACCGTCATCAGAAACACAACTTCCCAAAACAATCGTGTGATAAAAAACGACGGCTAGTCTTCAAATGCTTGGCTGTCCAGGGCGCCCGCCTCCTGGTCACGGGGCGCGGGCAAGCGCGCAGCAGGGGACGCTCACCCTGTGTCCCGATCCCCCGCCACGGATGTGATGCCGTGGCGGAGCCGCCATGCGCAATGTGGTCCCAAGCATGAACATACAATCGCTTTGATCCCCTCTCGCTACAGATTCGAGCCCTCAAATGCTTGGCTGTGTCCGGGGTGCTCGCCTCCTTCGGGCCAGGCGAAAGGGGGGGATAGCAAAGGGGGGGGTTGAGAATCAGCTCACGTAGCTGATTTTCCCGGCGCCTCCCGGCGCCGGCGGCGGCCATGTATCGAGGAATGGGCCCGTCGGTGGGGCCGAAACCAGCTGCATGCAGCAAATTCGTACCCCCCCCCTTTCCCTATCCCCCCCACTCGTCCGGCCCGACTCCTGGTCTCAAGCCGTTGCCGCCTCGTCGCCGCCTCGCGTGCTGGCACGATCTTCCAAGCTCGCGCCCCTTCGCCGCCCGTCGCCGCCCCGACTGCTGTGCTGAGTCTGGCCGCAGCCCAATGGCCGCCTCGTCGCCGCCCTGGGTGTCAGCTGGTAGGAGGCCACATGGAGGCCACATGCGAACCCTGCCCCACCACCCCACGATTTCTTGGGGGGGTCACTTCGTCCAGGACCTCCCGAGCGGAGTGAGAACCCCACCTCCCCCTCTAGACATCGTGAGGTGGTGGGGGGAAGGGTTCGTGTGTAGCCAGCGAAGCTGGGTCTTGCGAGTCCTCGCCGGGTCGCCGCCTGTTGTGGGCTTTCCGTGTGTTCGCCCGCTCGCCGCCCGCTCGCCGCTTCGTCGCCGCCTCGCGCGTTCCCTCAGATCCCGCACGCCTCCATGGACCGCTCCCGGAGTCCGGCACCGGAAACCTGGCGCTCCGACCTGCTCGACGCGTGAGACCTCTGACCTCTCTCGACCCCTCTTCCTCCTGGGGCCCCCTCTCGCCCTCCGGAATTACCTGTTGTTGGCAGCGCCGAGGCCCGAGCGCAAGCCGCCTCCGGCTGTGCCGGGACGCGGGATGCCTCCATGCGGGGCCCCTCGAGCCCGACCTCCGGGGGGCGAGGGAACGACGGACAAGCCTCGACCATGGAGTTCAATGGGGGCCTCTTCCAGACGAGCGCGTTCCACTACTCGCAAAGTAGCTACTCGCAAATCGCCTGGATCCGCCGAGGGGGATCTACGATGCATAGCATCGAAACAAACATGTGTGTTTTTTTCGGGCACTTTGCGAGTAGGCACTTTGCGAGTGACTAGTGGAACGCGCCCGGTGATCTTCCCGACGATCGCCAGCCTCCCAGGCCGAGAGGGCTCCGTCTCTCCGCCTCTGCTCGACGGTCGACGGCCTCCTCCTCCTCCTCCTCCTCCTCCTCCTCCTCCTCCTCCTCCTCCCTCCTCCCTCCTCCCTCCTCCCTCCTCCCTCCTCCCTCCCTCCCTTCCTCCCTTCCTCCCTTCTCCCTATCTCCCGTCCTCCTCGCTCCTCCTCCTCGGCTGCGAACCCTCCAAATCAAGAGCCTCCTCCCAGACCTCCAACGTCGTGATCCTTTCACAACTTGGACCTCGGGTCTCGACCCGCTCCTCCGGCCTCGTCGTTGTTTGACGGTCCCCGGGCCCGGCGAAGGCCCTCCAGAATCCGAAAACAGCAAAAAGCGTGTCATTCGAGACTTTCTGACGACCTGCGGGGGTCTGGCCGCCCTTCCCCCCCCTGCTGCAGGGCATCGACTCTCGGGCCGGGCAGGAGGGGGGGATAGCAAAGGGGGGGGGTTGAGAATCAGCTCGCGTAGCTGCTTTTCCTGGCGCCTCCCGGCGCCGGAGGCGGCCATGTATCGAGGAATGGGCCCCTCGGTGGGGCCGAAACCAGCTGCATGCAGCAGATTTCGTACCCCCCCCCCCTTTCCCTCTCCCCCCCACTCGTCCGGCCCGACCCCTTCTCTTGAGCCCCCCGCTGCTCTTCTTGACCATCGCCGGCCTCCCGGGCCGAGGGGCCACCTCTCGGGGCCCGCTGGTGCTCGCCCCGCCGCCCGCGCCGCGGGCCAGGAAGACGCCGGCCGCCCATATAGCCGTCCGGCGGCCCGCCGCACCGCCTCCCCGCGCGCCGTCACACTCGGGTAGCCTGCCGGCGTCGAGGGGCGGACGGGTCGATGTTTTTTTGTTTTCCTCGGGGCAGTGCGGTGCAGTGGGATCACTGTGGCAGTGAAAAGGGTGGGAGGGGTAATACCACGGAGGTAGAGGATGAAATAGGGGGTGGCCTCAAAGTTGGGCCGGTGCGAGAGACAGTCGGGGGTGGGGGGGCAGAGAACAAGCGACACCACCCCACCTACGGCCCCACGGGGCTTAGCGTATACCGAATCTGGCCTGAGTTTGTTTGCGGGGTATGCGATGCGGCCCCCGATGGGCCGCAGCGCAACATGGAGGGCCGTAGATGGGGTGGTGTCGTTCGTTTTTGGCCGAGGTGGGGGTGGGGGGGTGGTCCTCCTCCTCCTCCTCCTCCTCCTCCTCTTCCTCCTCCTCGACAGGGGGACGGCGCAAAGGAGTCCGCGAGTTAAACGGGGGATGGTGGCGGGCGGGGGCGGGGGGGGGCGAGCTCTCAGGAGCGAGGGGAGGGGAGGGGGAAGGCGGCGGAGGGAACGGGGAAAGGGAGGAAAACCAATGTTTTTGCCAAACACTGTCTCGTCTTGTGCCTGCCAGATCCTTTGGGAGCCTCCAGGAGGCCCAGGAGCCACTCCTCCTCCTCCCTCAAGCCACTTTTGCTCGAGCATTTTGCGCGAGCAGCTCGCCTGTGCCTCCACAGGATGCTTGGGGGACCACGCCCAGAGTTCTTCCCATAGGATTCTTGCTGGCGTTGACGAAAACAGGGAGCTCAGAGTAACCAATCATGCGTATTCTCAGTGCAAGGACCGCCACACATTCGAAAGAAACGATCGCTTGCTCAAAAACGTGTCCTGGTGTTTCCACTGCAATCGCAAGGTCAAGCTTTATGTGCCAAAGTCGCAGAAGGGCGGCTAAGGAATTCAGTCCGAGCAGGTGGGTGGGAAGGACGCCCAGGAGATCGGGCTCGATCGGTCGCTGCAGCAGGTTGTGGCGAAGACGGAATCTACAACGCTCAAGGCAGCGGTCTCGGCGGAGCTGGTTAAGTTCCAGGCGCCAAACCTCGAGACCATCGCCTCGGGCACGGAGGCTGAGGCGGTCAGGCGCGCGACGGGAGCGTGGCGCGACGCTGATCACACACATTCACAAGTAGTCGCAGCAAAGGTGAGATTACAAAACAATCTGACCATTGCTACGGAGAAGGAAGTTTAGGCCGCGCAGGTGCTGGCGCAGGCAACGAAGGCGACGACGGCGGCCACCGAGGCGTTGGCGCGCGCGGAAGGCATCACCTCCGACACAGCCGATACCGGTCAGGGTGCTGCCAACCAGCCGAAGTTCAAAGTCACGCGTGGCCCAGCGCGAGGCGCTGGAAGAGCAGAAGGCGACCCTCGGCAAGTCCATGGGCAAAGGCAAGCAAGTGCAACGGCAACCGCGAGAGCAGGGGCAGCGGAGATCTAGATGCACATGGAGCTGGCGGGCCTGCGGCGAGTGACACCGACGAGCTGCGAGCAAGCCCTGCAGGGTCCGAGGAAGGCCGCCAGCCGGCGGCCCCACAACCCGAGCAGGCTCGGGCGGGGAACGCATCCAGCTTTCTCGAATGTGACGGTGGTGTCCACCAAGTGTTGGGGCTACCTGCGGAGGTCCAATTTTGCTATCATTGGGGTGCGCGAGACTCATGCTGCCGAGTCGCAAGTCAAATCGTTGGATAAAAAAGCCAGCAGGGGCTGGCTATCACTTGCTTGCCAAACATGCGAAGGCGAAGAACAATCGTGTCAGTGCAGTCATGATCCATCGGTCTTGTGAACGAGGCGAGTGGTTTTTGGCTCGGCAACATTTGCAGGTGCAGAATGTGTTATTCGGTCTACGGCGATGAAGCTGAGGGCCCCTGGGCACGCTGCACCCGGCGGCTTCTAGGCGGTCGTCGCCCACATGCGGGGGTGCCGTGTGATCGCTGTCGTGTTCGATGCCCCCCCCCAAGCGTGCAGTTCGGGGGAGGCAACGCCAGTCGTTGCCAGAAGTTGGGCGCCATGCCCAGCTCGTCCCAGGTGCCGTGGACCGTCGTTGGTGATTGGAAGGCCAAGAAGAATATCAGACGTCGGCCTCGACTCTTTGGTCGTCTGCTCGGCGAGACATGCATGCTAAATGCGGAAAATGTGGCGGTCACTTGCGAGTCTGGCGAAGCAGGCTTCATCATCGACTGCGCTATCTGCTCCCACTCGGCCAATGGGTGCATCCATTCTGACGCGGGCGCGCCGTCGATGCCCTGGGCGCCCCGCGCGGGGCTGCCGGTGTCGCGGCGGGCCTTGGGCGAGCAGCTGCTCGCGCGCCCCCCGGAGGTGCTGGGGCCGCTGCTCCAGGTAGGGCGGCCGCGGGCCGCCCTGCGACCGGGCTCGAAGTCCAGTCGCGCTCGCGAGGTGAAGCAGAAACGCAGGCCCAGCCGAAGACAGCTCGGATACGATGTTTCGAGCACTACTTCGGTGATGCGTTGACGGGGGTCGGGGGGGGTAGGGGGGGCGATGGTTGCGCTGTCCGGGGCCCCCGAGATCTCGACGAGGGCCCTGGTCAGGACCCCCGGGGTTTCTTGAGGCCGAACCTGGGCGGGCCCCGCTCGAGGAGGAGGGCCCCCCCCTGGGCCCGCGAGGTGGAGTTTGCTCGCAAAGGCGGTCGCTCTTCAGAGCCCCAGGCCCCGTTTCCCGGGGAAGCCAAGGTTGATCGGGAGTTGCTAGAGGTGCCCCCAGGAAAAGGTGCCCCCGAGATCGGAGGTCCTCGGGGAGCAAGTCGAACCAACAACCGTGATCGGACAAAGACTGAATATGTGCAATTTGCGTTGCTCAAATCAACCTTCCCGCGGAGCAGCCGCGCGGCCACTCGAACGAACGGTCGCCCGCGGCGCCCACCGCTCCAGGGCGCCAACCCACGCGGCGACCCCTGCGAAGGCCTCCGTGCCGAGACCTTGCAGAGGGCCCTGCAGCCACCCTGCAACACAAAACATGCCAATACCATGAAGAGACCCCCGCAGAAACCTCGCCGAGAACCTTGAGACCTTGCAACGCCACGCAATACCCTGCGAGAGACCCAGCAATGCGTCGCAATGCCCAGCTGGACCCGCGACGCCTTGAACTTGCCCGTCAATCTCTCCAGCATTCAGCCCTCTGGGCGCAGAACGTTTGAAGAATCCTGTCTTCGCTGGGGGGGCTCTCTCGGGGCCCCCCCGAAGCTTCTGGGAGGCCCCAAGGGGGGCCCCGAGGCAGGCCCGAGAGGGTGCCGAGAGAAGCCGCAGCTGGCCCGAGAGGGCCCCGTGAGCGGCCCAAGGGGGCTCCCCGATGGGGGGCGCACGACGCATCGCGCCAAACTCCGCCTGACGGAATTTCGCGCGACGCTTGCTAATGCCTGGCGGGGGCTCTCTCTCTGGGCCCTCGCGGGCCCCTCTGTGAAATTTCAAAGAATTCATCCGGGCCGGCTTGGCCGCGTGATATCGTCGGGGCCCAGGCCCCAACGATACCATAGGAACAGGCTATCGCATGAAATCGTTGGGGCCTGAGCCCCGAAGCTATCGCGCGGCCTCGGGGGGGGCCTGCATGGGGCCCCCAAGAGGGCCCCCAGATTTCCCGCGCGACCATCTTGGGCCCTGTGCGCAGCGCCGTGGGGGGGGCTCTCCCGGGGCCCCTGGCGACGGCAAAACTATAAGTTATCTTCCCATTCCCCCCCGTCCGCACCCCTTTCTCTACGGGCAGCCGCTGCCCCGTTCTGCGTTTCACCGCGCGCTCCAACGCTTCCCTGATCGCGTGGACTCGCCGGCGCATCTTCTCTGAACGGGGCGGCGGGGATGCGCGAGACGACGAGAATTCAAGGGCTGCCGCAAAGCATCGTCGCAGCGAATGAAGACGCTGCGAGTGAGCCCCCGGCGCCCCCCGACCTTGGCCTGATCATCGTATTTTGGCCTCCTCGCAGCTCAACCCTCAATGGCGTCGCGCCGACGCTCGCGCGCGGCCTCAGCAATGGACTCCGCTGCCCGCCACTGGGCGGCAGTCTCGGCGGCGGCGTCTGCGGCGCCTTCTGGGAGCTCGCTCGTCCACCCCCGAGAGACCTGCAGAGGGGCCCGAACGACCCCAGAGCGCGATTACTGGCCGACTACCCTACCATGCCCCCAGATTGTTGAAGGCTCCGGGAGACCTGCCCTCGGCGACTGCGCCGCGTTCGGTTTGCAACGCAATCCCCCTGGTGCCATTGTTGCTCTCTCCCAGATAATTTGACGCAGCGACTTTGGCGATGGCGCGATGGGGCGAATCTTAATCGGACGAAGCTCAAACGGGATATGACGACATTTTACGCAGTTTGGCGAGATTTGGCGTGATCGACTTCTCCGAAACATCCTCGCAAAAGTTTGGCGGGGCTTTGGAGTGTGCCCTCGGTGAGGGAAACTCACTCTGGCGACGGCAACTCTGTGCAAATCTTGAAACGAAGATTCGTCAAATCAGGTCATCGTCAAACTAAAGCTCGTCAAACTAGGGGGCGGGGAAAAGAGGCGCCGTGGACTGCGCGGGGGATTGCGTTGCAGCCCGAGCGCGCCGGGGCCGCGCAGGGGGCCGCTGCCCGGCGCGCCCCTCTGAGCTCCCCCGAACTCCTCCGAGATCCCCCCCCCAGGGGCCTGGGGCGGCCCCGTGCCTTCTCTGGAAATCGCCCTCCGAACAAATGATTTGTCAATGTGGGTAAGGGCCTGTGCGTTTGGAGATGTCCTGAGTTGTTTGCATAGCAAGAAGGCGCCGAGAGGGCCCCGAGAGGCCCCCGAGAGGACTTGGGAAGGCCCCCGAGAGGGCTTCAAAATCTGCCACGCAAGAAGCTTCGCGTGACCGCGCTGGGGACCCCTCTTGGAACCGTATTGGGGCCCTGGGCTGCTGCGCCCCGAGGGCCCTCGGACGGCCCCGGGTGGGCCCCGAGACCGCCCCGCGAGGGCCCCAAGAGCGGTCGCGCGTTGTCTCTCTTGCGTGGCCGATCTTGGAGCCGCCTTGGGGCGCTCTTGGAGCC